AGGGGCGGAGAGCGCCCGTCCCTCCGATGCCGCCATCCCGAGGCCCGGAGAGCGCCCGTCCCTCCCGTCCCCCTGCTGTGAGGGGCGGAGAGCGCCCGTCCCTCCGATGCCGCCATCCCGAGGCCCGGGGAGCGCCCGTCCCTTCCTGCCCGCCACGCGGCTGAGGGGCTGCTGAGGGCGAGCGCTCTGCGCTCAGTGAGGGGCAGCGACGGGGCTGAGCCAAGGCTTAGAAATGTCTCCCCGATACCAAGCTGTTACAGGGGTTTTTGGTTTTTTTTGGTCAGAACTTGAATTACGATTTTTTTCTCATCTCTTCGTGCTCGACTACATCTTGGTATGGAGCTACACACGCACATGTACGTAGCATCTCCCAAGTATCACAAAACTTGGCGCTGTGTTGGGGTAAACTGGCCTAACTGGTTACCTTCTCTGAACTTTGGCCTTTCCGGAGGGAATAAARTGTCAAGATCGTAAACAATTATCTCATGCCTAATAACCACTTATCAGGAAAAGAGTGAGATTTTCCAGATTTCTTCAGGTACCCCATAAACTCACAGAATCTGTACTTTTAAGGTTCCCCTTCACAATCAAGAGAGACTTACTCAATTCGTAAAWGAAAAAGTTCACTTTAATCAGCCCCTCATCATCACTAAAAATGTCTTTGCAGCCTACTTTTCCCACTCTTATAAATCTTTACAAAACTGGTTTGCCTCAACATCAATATCATTGTACATATTGTTAACATCATTGAGACAATACRACACCAATTAATTTTGTATGCTAAGTCCCATTGTGATTCTGCAGAGCTGAAAGRACCCACAAAGCAGATTTTACAAGGCCCTGGCATGACATTGTGACAAATGCATTTCATGTTCAAAAATATTCAGTAATACAGATAATTATTTTTTAAAGAACTGTGCAAGCCAATAAGAAAACACTTTCTAAAGCAAGTCTTTTTTGTTTTTTTTAAATGCAGATACTAGAAAGAGCTCTGATGTGTCAGTAAGAATCACAAAGATAAGTATTACAGGCAGAATGCAGATATCAAATGGGATAGATACACTACTTGTATATATCATTACCATATGTATTATGTGTTATGTGTATAATCATGTTGTATATTCATAGAAAATTAAAGAGTAAGAGCTGATTGAAGAGAACCAATTTCATAGAGCAAACTATAGCAGTGTACTTGGATGTAGAAACACTCTGACAAAGCCAGAACAAAACAGCAAAATTAGGAAACAAGTCTCAGCAATGATTTTAGATCCTAAATAAGACACACACAAAAAAAAAAAATGAATACTCCTTTTTTTTGTTTTTGTCATGCTTCTTGAGAATTCTCGTGGTCTCAAAATGCAGTCGTTCGGCAGAGAGGACCTCTGCAAGCATGCACTGGAGGGCAGCAGATCCCAACCTCTGCCGTGCCATAAGGCACTTCAAAAAGCGCAAAGAAAGAAACTTCAGCCTACCGGTGGCCTTTTGTTCCATTGATGCACGTATTTTTCATGGGCTTGTGTACAAAGCAGATGTCATGGGGTAATCCATGCAGTCTGGTATTTCCAGGCTTCTGCACCACCCTTCTGCTCTAGGTTTGTGGTACAGACAGCTGAAGGGATGTTGGTAAGATACTCCTGATTTATCCTCAGATGATGAATCAAGCACTGAGTTCTCACCCTAAATGATTCTCGGTGTTTACCAGATCAGCACAGATAGCTAAGAATACAGGACGTTTTGAATCTTGTCTGCTCCCACTGGCACTGACATTTCCTCTCTTGCAAGACCGTGACTCCTGTTGGTGAAACAGAATCTTCTGAGCATGTGAGGTAATAGAATCCACTGCACTTTTACTTTACATGGCAAAGACAGTAGTGTCTGTTCTATTAGTTACAATTCTGTAGCATCTGGTGCAACAATTTTGGTCTAAATTCCAACTGAATTAATATGAAAAACATATAAGAATTCCAACTTTTGCAACAATCAGTCTGCTGTAGTCGTGGACGACTGTGAAAATTGTAGTTGCTACCTATGTGCAGTAGCAATTTTTCAAATTCTCCCCCCGCCCCCAAATGACAGATTTTTTGTTTTAGTGTAATTAGTTTTCATAAAATTAAATCAGTCCTGAAACCCAGGGCTCAGCTAAAGTAATAAATTTAGTTGTTGTGAGGTATTTGCTTTTTCAGATTTATCTTTATTTATAGAAGTAACATTTATTTCTGTGTTTAAAAATTTATTTTTTCAGCACACAGATTGAACTTTTCTGACCTTAAGTACCCCAAGTATCTCATACTGAATTTCAGTTTAGAAGAATCTAACTCATTTGGTAAGTGCAGAATGATGCTTCCTCAATTTTTGATAAAAGTCTACCATGGCAGTTTAACACATTCTCATTCATTAGAAGTAAGAATTAGTGCATTTTAAGGTTTATTTATTTTCATATAATCCTGCTCCTTTTTAATTTTTTTTTAAATAGGAATGGTGGTCAGGAGTTTCTACACATCAAAACAGATTAGTGAAGCAGTTCAATTGAAGAGAAGAAAAYTACTTGTCAGAATCTGGGTGCCCAAGCACACTACTGACAGTCTGTAGAAAATCAGCTGACTTCAGCTCTCTTTTGTCCATCAGAATTTTCTACCCTAGCTGCAGTAGATGACTCCAATAAAGCTGTATCTTGTTCAAATTAAAGTGGAGTTGAAAAACATAAAATTTGAATCAGCTTTCCCTTGGCACATAGCCAATACTTTCCAAAGTGGTATTACACAAGTCATAAAAATATAACCTTATATGTGACAGTTCCAAAAGGCAGGCATGTGTTCTAATTTCCTTTTAATGTGAATTTAAGGCCCTAAAGATTTTTTTTTGTCAGCAAGAAAAGACATTTAATTACTGATGGCTCATACAAGTCTTTGTCACACTCTTGTTTACTAACAAGAAATGGACAAAAGCCTATTTTTCTGGTCACAAAATCAATTGGACAGATGAGAGAATCCCTTTGCTCACAATTCCTCTTTTTAGTATCTTCCTCTATTTCTTTACTCCCTCAGAACTGCACAGTTATGCTTTTCAAGTCCTGCTTGTAAAGCAAAAGCACAGAGACATGCTGGTGTGTGCAGCAGTTTCGTGTCCTGCACTCATGTCTGTGCAATAGGTTAGGCAGGACACACACACACCTCTCAGCCATGGATAATTTGGAATCTCTCAGGTGGAAGGGACCATCCTTACCCCCAGCCCACAGCCACGTTGCCATTTCACAGTCTGACATGTTGTGGCTGTAAGCCCTGCTCAAGAAACAGTCRGAATCTTGTCTTTTGCAAATACTTATTGAAGAGGTGTTCTGGGGAATCAGTGTGCCATCTTAAATAGAATGTATGATAATRCAGGTGAAGAAGTACACCCAGAGATCTCACAAACCTAACTTTATYCCTAAAGGCTGAGTCCTGCCAGCATCTGGATCAGGGAAAAGGATGTGACTATCTGCTCCCACACTGTGTGACTAACACTGGATTGCATAAGAGAAGTCTAGGAAGCTGGAAATACTTTGGTGAGAATGTCCTATGTTACTCAGAGCATGGAGTCAAACAAATGCATAGGACTTTTCAGTCATTTGGGGTGAGCTGTATGACTCGTGTCTGACTACATTGTTTGGTGATTAAACTTTCCAAATCTGTGCCAAGGAACTCCCCATAACAGGTTGTGTTGTAAGCATTTATTTTGATTCTCATTCAAAAATAATGAGATTTTCTTTTCTTTCCTGGTAGGCTGCACTGTTACAATTTGCTTATCAGATAGTAATTGCTGTATATGCTTGGCACTATTTTAAAAAAGGCATCATGGCTAATTAATGTGATCCTGGAATTCAGATTATACTTGCTTTATTGACTCTAAAGATCTAATCTTAGAAAGTGCTGAGAGGACTCCAATTTTAAATGACCTCATACATTTTAAATGAAAGGATGAGGAAAAAAAAAAAAACCTGAATGCAACTTCAGAGTGAAGCAARTGTTGGAAAGCTCTAGCATTTCTTAGCAGAATCCATAAACAAATTRAGATCAATTAATTTGGATATTTTTTGTACTGCCAATGCTGATCTTAATTTGTGTCTATATATCTTTGAYTTCTTTATAAAATGAAATATTTTTATGTTGTGAGGGTTGGTAGACAAAATTAGCTTCTTTCTCCCTGTAGAATCATGCCATTAATAATGAAAGAGGGTATAACAACAGAAGTATTTTCTGACAGATTCCGGAGGTAYCTTCTTCGTATTTGAATTGAAGTAAAGATACTTTGGTACAACAGAYCTCCTTGTCTTTTTAATTTCCTTTATTCCACCTGCTGGTGGAAGATTAACTGGGGACTATAATCAGCAAAAGAAAATTTGAAGGGAGTGACCCTCTTGGACTGTCCCAGTTGAAATCAGGGCTGCATGAGTAAGGCTTAACAAGTAAAGCAGCACTGATGACATAAAACAACAGAGTAAGGAGTGCTTTACTAGAGGACTTCTGATTTCTCACGAGCATAAAGTTGTCCCCAAACAAGTGCTGAGTTCAAGAAATTGAAGACTTTGAAAGAGTGCTAGTAAACAGAAGCTGGCATTAATGAAATATTTACTAGATGTAAAATTCTTTCACCCCTATGCAAGGTGAGTGAAATGTAAAAAAAAAAAAAAAAGATGGTGTAAGTGAAAGAAAGGCCTAGGACAGTTGAGAACCTGCATAAGAATACACTAAAATGTATTTCCTGTGTTTTCTGCAGAAAATTGTGTGATGTAGTGTTTCAAGTGCTGGATTCTTAATTGCTTTTTTTATTACTTGTACTTGAAACACTAGAATTGTGGAGTCGAGGCATTTGTGAACAATAGAAGCGAATGGTACTTAAATCCCAAAACACTCATTTTTTTTTAATTAGTATTTGTTAGTAGCTTTCTAGCAGACACACAGTAATTATTAGTAATGCAATATTAAGTGTCAAATGTGAGCTGATAATGCCTGTAGGGCTACTAGAGCCATCAAATATTTATTTTGTGTTGAAAGGTCTTGGAAGACAAATACTCATCTTGTGCTGCCTACGTGGAGTCCACCTTAGAAATTCCTTGGAATGTCTYAGACAGACACTTTACAATTCATCAGCAACATGCAAGAATCACCAGGAAGCAAGAATGCAATACTATCAACATGACACAGAGAATCCTATTCTTCAGCATTAAAAAACAAGGCAATAACTGGAAAACATCCTGGTYAGAAAAGCATTGCTTATGCCACCTTATGCTGTTGGGTGTGGGTTTTTGTTTTCTTTCCCTACTGTTGTTRCTCAGGATACCTCCTTAATCCTGACATTCTGGTTTCTTTATTCAAGCCTTTTATTTCCTCTCCAAACTCTTTGAAATCATATTTTTTTTCATGCAAAATTCTTCTCATATGGTATTTTCCARCGAGACCTTCTGTGTGCTTAGCACAGGCTTTGTTTCAAACACAGATCAAGAACCACCTAGCTGTTTCCTGTTTTCTTATGGCACCTTATAGCTGTTAACCTCAGTATGGCTTTCAGCACTCGTATCTGTTCTACCTTTCAACATTGAATACCACCTTGATCCAATCTTTTGACAGTTCTGTGGAACAGAAAAAGTCACTATCTCTCCGTCTGCCTTTTCAAAGTAAATTTTGCTGATGGGCAATATTGTTTTAGAATTTTATCTGTATTTTCAATGCTCCCTCTTCTGTCTTCAGCTTATTCATCTTCTTCCTGTGTTTTGAAGTCCACCAAAAGCTTTCATTCAGCAGAGTGTGTGAACAGAATCTTTGTTCAGAAAAATGCTTAATTATGTTTTTCAGTGGTGTTCTTACAAACGAGTTAGGAGCACATGTAGTATTGCACTGGGACCAGTTCCTGTCCTTGTGAAGGGAAAGAATGAAATACAATCTTACTCATATATTTCTGCAATCTTTACTCTCCTTCCTCCCAACACTCACCCTCAGCTGAGGACAATATTTCAACCACTGTATGATTTGAAGGCAAGACAGCTGTATCTGAATATAGTAGTTTACATCCACCCCCCTGTAAATGTCATACTATGGCTATTGCTAGCAGTTTGGAACAAATAGCCAGATAGGAAGCATAACACTCAATTAAAATTCACTGAAGCACCATCTTAGTTTTCATTGGAGTCACAAGAAGTGCAGGCAATTCTTTAAAAAAAAAACAAACTGGTTTTTTTTTTTTTTTTTTTTTTTTTTTTTTTTTTTTTTTTTTTTTTTTTTTTGTGGGTCCCTGTATATTTACCCTCTATAAAGAAATGCCTGGTGTTTTAAAATATTGTTCTAATGTCATCTGGCATAAAATTCAGGGGTTTGTAGTGAGTATGAAATGCCAGACCCTGAGAYCCCCAATTTTCACATTWTCTACAGCTTTGAGATACTCCTGTSTTGAGCAGAAAGTAAATGGATATTTCTGTCCAGTTCATACGGGATTAAATTTTTATGGTTATTCTATTCATCCGATGAATTAGTAAGAGTTTTGCTTGTTTCGTACTGTGCCGCGCAGTCTGGGAGGAACAGGGGTCTTGTTGGAGCGAGAGGCCGAGAATGTGTACGAGTCCCTCCAGGCAGGAGGAGCTGCGACTGCCCACAGATCCGGCAGAGGGAACTGTTGTTCTAAAATACCTGCCCCTACAGGGAGAGCCTTTGTTKGTCACTGCGAGCCACGTAATTGCAYCAGGAAATCAATGATCTRGAKTGTATGGAACATGTGATTTATAAATTCTCATCAGAATACAAAGAAGCTTTAACAAATGCCAGAAAGAGCAAGTKAGATCATAATCAGGATGGGCCAGGGATTGAATTTAAATTATATGGATARTTATGAAGCTGACATRTTTTTTATTCTCTTTAGGAGAATAMATGGTAGTAYGGAATTCTAGGGGTTGAAGAATTGTGATCTTTTTGTTCATGTTTCACCTAACTATGAAGCTGTAGCCTTCCATATCAAAAGACAGGATCTTGAGAATCAGGTCGTCAGAAATGCACTCGGTAATCACAAGGCAAGTTGTCATAGGGTGCCTTATTTACAGAACTGGCTCAGCTTCAGATACTGCTGCCAGCATGGTTGCAGAGCAAGATGCTGCTTCTCCTGCAAMTCCAAGCACTGCTGGAGGATTAAAAGACAMGTGTATTATCATCTCTCTAATATTAAAAAGAATTTTTAATAGAAAATATTTTAAAGTGAAATATGGACTGTACTACCCTTTTAAATATACAGCACTTTGCGATGTAGCTTTCCCTTTCTTACTACATGAGATTTCCCAAAATTGTACAAGTGAAGGGGTTGAAGCAGATACTCTGGGTACTCACAAGTCCCACTGAGCATAACATTTSAAATCATTATTTTTATATGTATATTCAAAGTTGTGTTTGCGATGTCTAAATATCAAGTTAAAAGATATTGAKGGTGGCATGATATGTGAAAGGAAGCTCAACTTTTACAGTATTGTCAAACTCTTGTTTTTCAGTATCTTCTAAATGGCTGTCACAAATAAATAGAAAGGGTGTTGGAGCTCAAGGAACATTTTCCAGATAATGTTGTTTGAAGACTACTGGAAGAAATTAATTCTGAAGTAATTGTCACTAAGATAACCTTAAAGATGATCCACTAGGTGCACAGTCAGGAGCTGCACTGCTGAAACAGCATTGGTTTTAAGTAAGAGGTTAGCAAAATACTTCCTTTGCTCAGATACCATTGCTCAGAGATTGGTGGGGTGTGACTGAAGCCCTCCCCTTGTGCTGCCCCAGGAGCTACTCAGTATCGAAGAACTAAGCCTAGATAATTGGGTTGGATCTTCTACTCAAGCAATTACAAACCTTATGAACGTTAACTTCCATGTTCTGACGTAATTCAATCCTTTGATTTATAGCACAAATAGTTCTTTGTTTTATAATTTAGTCAAACATTAATTTGTCTTCATGGCATATTGCTGACAAAAAGAAAATGTGTCAGATCCTGGAGACAGACTTTTTATTTTTGCATTAGTAGAAAGCAAGATCATAAAAGGAGATGTACTTTTATTTATTTTGCTCACAGATGGGGGAAATAGTCCCAGTAAAATGGATTAAATAATTCCTCCGGGAAAYCCTAATAGAGTGGAAAATTTATCTCAATGATACAGACAAGTAAGGAGGCGGCAGGTCATGGGACAAAAGGGAATTGGTGTCCTGGGACAAGGCTGGCCTGTTCTCTGCTGTTTACCAAACCTCACCAATGACTCTTGGAGCTGTAATTGCAGACAATGCCACGATGTTGACATCCTTGTGGTGACAATAATGGCTTCTCTGAGGTTAGATTGCTATCAACGTAGTACATCACCCTCAGTAGAAACTATCCGCCTAAACCAAATACATTCTCTGTTAGTCTACCACCGTGACTGCAAACTAGAAAAGCTAACGGTCTGGTTTTTTTTTCTTTTTTTTTTTAGTTTAAAAGTGAGTTTCCCTTTTGTTTTCATTAATTTCACTTTTGGCTCCAGTACAGTGCTTGTGTTTCCACAAAGGTATTATATTTTAATGTCTCTTTTAAATTGAAACTGATACTAGTAGCTAAATGTGTACTGAATACAATTTGAAAATTGTTAACTTTTGCAAAGTTTAGTGTCTGTGCTGCTTAAAAATGAAGGCGGTTTTGTACAGATGTGAAGAAAAGGGCTTTTGTGTTTTATGGAGGAAAAACAATATTTTGAAAATAGTCCCCTTTTCCACGAAATTGATAACTGGACAAAGAATAAACATTGACATARCAGGGCAAGTGTAAGGAGTGTAATTGTACTGTAAACAGAGTTTAGACTAGGTCCTTGTAATGGATTTACAAATAATGAAAATATGTCAGGACAATTACTTGAATAGATTGAGCTGTTTGCACGACTAAGAGGAGGGAGACAGAGCCCAATTGTCCCAGTTCTCTRCAGAAATCTAGGTGGGAATCAACATTTTCCTTCAGGCTTTCATGCCTTTACCCAGCAGAACTGGCCTCTTCAGACATCTGGAAGAGAGAGCCACAATGTCCACTGAAGAAAGAGGAGGTAAAGTCGGAAAGTCAAATGAATCTATGATCCAGTTTTTTATACATTGCGTTTATTTGTGAACTTTATCATATCGCTTCAGGTTTTCAGTGGAACTGAAGAGCCATGGATGAGTTCTGGCGTCCAAACTTTTGACTGTTCTTGTCGGAAAGGGTGTTGGGTGTCCCCGGCCCGGAACGGGACCCCCGTTGCTGCAGGACACTCGCAGCGGCGGTGCCGGGGCCGGGGCGCAGMGGGGCGGGAGCTCATCCCCAATGTACCCGCGCGGTACCGCTCCCCAGCATCCCCAGCATCCCCAGCCCCGCTCCTTCCGCTCGCCCCCAGCGGAGTGGGGACCACACCGGGACCCGCACCTCGACCCAGCCGAAGCCTCCGGTGGGGTTAAATTGCCTTTCGCAAGTGTCCCTATTTTTGTTCTCTAACGGCCGGCGATAATGGCTTTCTCACTTCCTCCACCTCCAACGGCTCGGGTTATTTAAGCGCCGGCACAGAGCGGGGGTGGCTGCTGYGTGCGGGCCGGCAGTGCCGCGGCGCCGCACCGAGGGTCCCTGAGGCGGACGGGCACGGCCGCGGTGCCGGGAGCTACCCGCGCTACCGGGAGGGGCGRTCAGGCGGCTCCGCAGGTGAGCGGCGGGGCCGGGTCGGGGCCGGGCGCGGCGCTTTTGTCCGCCGCAGCTCCCCCGCCCCCGGCCCGTCAGCGGCGCCGCCGGCCGCGCCCCATTGGCTGCGCGGGCGGTAACGTGACACCGGCGGCGGGCGGGGCCCGACCCAGACGCGCCGGTTGGAGCCGGTGCTTCGCGCTGCG